AGAGAGAGAGAGAGAGAGAGAGTGACTTAAAGAAATGGCGCACATGATTGTAGAGGCTGGCAAATTCCAAGAATGTGGGCCAGGCATCAGGCTGGAGGCTTCTTCTGACTCAGGTAGCTGCAGGGGCTGATGAAAGCAAGATCGGCAGGTCAGATCACTGGCTCACAGGCTGCAGAGGCTGATGAATCCTAGGATGGGCGTGTAAGCCACTAGCTCAAGTCCCAAAAACCAGAGGTCAGATGATGACAAGCTGGATGCAGCATCCAGAGTGAGAGTCCTGGTGAAACATATATTTATATACTGGAGGAAGGCCACACCCCCAAGGAAACTCCCTTTCAACTGACTGGCTGAACATAGCAGATCTTATCATGGACTTGATTACATCATTACATAACTGCCAAATTACATTGTTAAATAACTGCTTAACTACTGAGAATCATGGCCCAACCAAGTTGACACACAACCTTAACCATCCCTGTCCACCTCTTGTCAACTTGCATCTGTACACATCTCCTTAAACCATACATAGTCTCTAAATAAAAACAATTATAAAGTCATACTTGCACATAACATGATACAACTTACATGAATACAACTGAAAATGCACTAGCCCCGTTTACATCTTATATTTTATGAGTGAAGAAAACAAAAATATTTGATGCACACATAAAAGAAAGTAGCCAACAACGTAAGTCCATAAGAGTGAGACTATTCTGATTACTGCTTTGACTCCACCGTCCAGTTCTGTAACCACATCCACCTTGTGTTTGTTGACTGAGTGCTGCCAATCGGCCCCTACAACCGCAGAGTCCAATCAGACCGGTTGTAGTTAGGTGTGTTAATTCAGTTAGGGCAGTTCCCACTGTCAAATCTGACTTACATAAAATAGCAATCATAGCAGTCTTGAAGGATGCTGGGGCTCCCTTCCCAAAATTTTTCTTCACCGTTGTGGTAAAAGCTGTGTCCTCTGGGCAGTCCATGTTTGGGTCTGTGGGTCTAATCTAATCAATCCACTCTAACATCCCAATTTCCCTAAGCTTTT